ACTGTGTGTAAGAGCGACTGTGTGTAAGAGTGACTGTGTGTGTGTGACAGCACGTGTGTAAGAGAGTGTATGTGAGAGTATGCATGACAGCGTGAACGTGAGACAGAATTAGTGTGCGTGTGAGTGTGTGAGAGAGTGTATCTGCTCTCCCACCAACTGCGTAAATCAGTTGCAATTACAAACAAGGTCAGTGTGGATAACTCAGTTAGCCCTGGGTTGGGACGCAGAATAAGCAATTTCATTTCTATAGCACCGTTACACGATCTCATTTCCACTGGGAATCACAATCGAAAATGGAGCTGAGAGGTGAGACAGTGGAGACAGAAAGAGTGCAAGATCAGAATGAACCATTACCAGCATCTAAAGCCTTCATGATGATATTGGCTTTATCGATGTCGAGTGAAAGGCCCTCAAACCAGCTGTGTTCCATCAGGTAACAGTACACACTGAGGCGTGTGCGTAGGCCATAGTCAGCCTCTTGCTTCCGTTTCCCAGCTTCATCTGGGTGATACTTTGAACGGAACCTTGAAACGGAGAGACAAACAGTAGTGAGTACAAACCAGAGCGTGGAGCAGAGAGCAATCTTGCAGTAAGTTCGCAAGAAAACATGCAGCAAACGATTTACTATAGGGAGAGGGAAATGATTAAACAAGGCAGAATAACTGCTCAAACACGGGCTGTAATCTGAGGGTTTCCCATCTTGGCCACTGTTGTAATAACATTAAATGATGTGCTTGCTACACCTACATTGGCTAGAGTGGAATGGGGACGGGAGAGTTTTTCAACGTCACCTCGGTCAGGGTGCACTCCCCAAACACCTCAATGGGGCTGCCTCTCCCAACGCAGCTCAAAGCGCCCACTAAAGAGCCCTTGAGGTCTTGCTGTGCACATTCACAGCACATGGGCCATACTCCTCCAAGTGCACAGGAGGCCAGGAGTGGGAAGCAGCTCAGTTGGGACAGTGAGGTCAGGCAGTATGGAATATTTCTTGGCGGGGGCTGCAGGGCAGAGGGAGCTTATGAACATACAAATTCGGTGCACAGTAGGCCCTTTGAGCCTGCTCCACTCTTCAGTACGATCATGGTCTGATTTTAACCTCAAATCAGCATTCCCACCTACCCCAGCTAACCTTTAACCCCCTTGTTTGCTTATCAAGAATTATCCATCACTGCCTAAAACAACATTCAAAGATTGTGCCTCATATGCCTTTTGAGAAAGAGAAAGACTCAACACCCCCGAGAGATAAACTTATCTCTTGACCCTGTCTTACCCTTCAGCATCTTGTGTTTGAATCAAGTTGCCTCTTAACTCTTCACAACTCCAGAAGCCCAGCCTCTCCTCACGAGAGAATCTGTCCCGTGTATTAGTCTGATAAACCTCCCCTGAACCTCTTCCTATACATTTACATCCTTCATTCAATAAGGAAAGCAATACTGCACACAGTACTCCAGATGTGACCTCACCTGCATAAACTGGAGCATAACCTCACAATCAACGATACCATCCTGCGAGCTTTCCTGATTACTAGCTGCTCGTGTTCGCCAATCTCTTGTGATTCATGTACCAGGGCACAGAGATACCACAGCACCCCAGGGCTCTGCCATCTCTCTCCATTTGGATAATAAGCTTCTTTGTTACTTTCCCACATGGTACTCCATTTGTCAGACCTTTTTCCACTCACTAACTGATATCTATCCCTTTGCTGACTCATTACATCCTCTTCACTATTTACTTTCCTCCCTATTGTTGTGTCGTCAGGCCTTCATTCCCTCCAGCCGAGTCATTTTGATTAGTTGTAAAACATGAAGCACCAATCCTTGTGACAGCAGGATACAGACCTTTTGGTCAAACCAATCGATGCCGACCATAATCCCAAACTAAACTAGTCCCACCTGCCTGCTCCTGGCCCATATCCCTCCAAACCTTTCCTGTTCATGTATTTATCCAAATGTCTTCTAAACATTCCAGCTGGTCCCACATCCACCACTTCCTCTGGGAGTTCATTCCAAACGCAAACCGCCCTCTGTGTAAAATAAATTGTCCTGCATGTCTTTTTTAAAACTCTCTCCTCTCACCTTAAAAATGTGCCCCCTTGTCTTGAAATCCCCAATCCTAGGGAAAAGACACCTACCATTAACTCTCTCTATACCCCTCATGATTTTATAAACTTCTAGAAAGTTGCCTCTCTATCTCCTACACTTGTTAAAAAGACGACTCATTAATGCCTACTCTCTCTGCTTCCTCTTAGCCACCTAGTCTTCCATTCATTCCAAAATATTATCCCTATATCATCAAGCTTTTCGGTTCCACAATAACCTCTGATGTGGCACCTTATCAATGCCTTTTGAAAATCCAAATACAACACATCCACCAGCTCCCCTTTAACCACAGTGTGTAGTACCTCCTCAAATAACACCAACAGACTGGTCACACATGATTTCCTTTCACAGTGCAAAAATGCTCCTAAACAGATCATACAATCTGCACTAAAATTCAAGTTCTGAGATGAGGTCAGAAAACATGTTTTCACACAAGCGGGGAGTAAAAATTCGGAACTCTCCCATGAAAAGGCTGAGGGTGCGGGGCAGGGGAGGAGGTTGTCAACTGGAGATTTAAAACTGACATTGAGATATATTTGGTCAGACTTTTGGAACCAGAGTAAATCGAGGAAGGTTAGGCAGACTGAAGGGGCTGAATGGCACACTGCTGTTCCCAAGAGTCACTGTGGTTGGTGTGACCAGCGAGGTAAGCTGGGACAGCCTCTACAACCAGCTTTCCTTTGTCCCCTGTGGGTTATGGGGCTGGCATCACCACCACGAGCCTGCAGCGGTCAGCTCCGACAACACACTCGCCCCTGAAATGATTGAGAAGGGGGTGAGGAGGAAGAGACGTGATTGAGAAGGGGATGGAGGAGGAGTCTCTGGGTCACACAGTCCCCAATATCACACAGCATGCAGCCAGTTCTTAAACAACCTTCGGGGTTCAATGATTGACAAAATTCCTGCCTTGCTTAGTTCATCCCCTCTGGAAAATCCCAAACAGAATCAACGGACGCCAGTTAAGAGAGAAAAAAATCCTACCAAAAGAACAATGAACAAATCACCAAATTAATTTTGTGTTTTTTTTTTAAACCTTTTTACTTCAAGAATTGTTTTGGCAGCTTACGTACGGATAAAATCATAATACTTAGGTGTCGAAGTCATCTTGAAGAATCTCAAGTGTGCGAGCGAGCGTTTTGTAGACTCTTTTCATTACCAGGGATTTTTGTTCCTCACTAACTAAGAGCTAATACTTTGGGATTACTAGACACTGCATTGTGCGCAGTGTGTGGCTAACTAACTGTTCTCAGTACAAAAGTTTCCACTGCAGCGTGCCAGGATTTGCTTCAGATTTGCTCTCCTGCACCTTGTTTTTGAAGGGGGGGAAGAAAGGTGTCAGAATTAACATTATACAAACAAAAAAAACTACAAACTCCAGATAACAAAAGGACAAAAAATTAAGAGGTTAGTTCATAGAGATACCTTCCCCTCCATTTGTTCATGTTAATGAAGAGGGGCACACTCCACTGCAGAATTGCTACTTCTCCTGAATAGAATTAGCAAATGGAATAAAATACCCGAGAGACGGAGAAAGACAGACAGCGAGACAGAAAATAATGTGTGAGCATTTTGCAAATGTTCATTTAATTGCCACAGTTTCACATTTTATCATCACTGTATGCAGGGATAGAGGTTGAGCAGTTATCAGCCTTTCTGAATTTCTCCCGACGTGCGAGCAATCCTCCTTCACACCTTTCTCCTGTTGGGATGCTGATGCTAGACACCAGTTGTTTGCCTCCCCCTCCCCCCGACCCCGGGGTGGGGGGTGGTTGGTGGTGGCGGCGGCGGCATTCACACAAAGGCACTGAACACTAGCAGGCTTTGAGAGGTGAACACCATTGGCACAATGTGCTAGGCCAGCTGTTACCAGACAATCACAGACACAGCTATGCACATTCACTCTATCCCTCCTTCCCACAGAAACTCCCTCCGCCCCTACCTCCTGCAAACACTCCCTCGTCGCTCCCTCTGTCCCTCCTCCCGCAGACCATCCTGCAGACCCTCCCTCTGCCCCTCCCTCCCGCAGATGCTCCCTCCACCCCTCCCTCCCACTGACACTTCCTCCTGCTGACACTCCCTATCTCCGCCCCTCTCTCCATCCTACAGACGCTCCTACTGTCCCACCCTCTCACAAACGCTCCCTCTTTGCCTGCTTCTCGAGGTAGGAGATCAGAAATGGAAGTTCTGGCTGGTCTTTGAATGGCCCTGCTCCAGCCTGGGTACACCAAGGACAAGCTATGGGATCTACTCTCAGCAAAGACAGCAATAGTCTGGACTTTTGGCCATTCTCACAATCACAGCGCTTTTGTCCACAAGGTCATCAAAGCTTAGATTTCGGACCTGCCGAGATGATGGAGCTGCTGCGCTAACTGATATTCTCCATGGTGAATACACCTTGCTCATTCTTTGGAAGTAATGAGACTCAACGGCATATATCATTCTTCACCAACCCAATGCCCAGTTTAACTCTTTCACACCAAAATGCAAGTGGGCACAGGACTCAAGAGTCTTCATAAACAGTGACAAACATTATCAAAGCAAAATCAACTCATTAGGTTAGAAGGAAAGGTGATATTAACTGACCTTGTTTCCCTGGAATACAGAAGGTTAATGAGTAATTTGATTGGGCTTTTAGGGTTTGATGGTGGGAGATAGGGGGGAAGGGGGGGCTGGAGGGGGGAGAGAGAAGGAAGGAGGGAGGGGGAGAGAGAAGGAAGGAGGGACAGGGGTGAGAGAGGGGGAAGACAGAGACAGTGAGAGTGAGAAAGAGAGAGAGAAAGAGAGAGAGACAGAGAAAGTGCAATGCATGTGACAGGAAGGAAAAAATCTTTTCTGATGACAGGGAGTGGAGCCCCAGGAGAAAATAAACATTATATCTGAGCCAGACCATTCAGGACAGAAGTTCCAAAATGTTTTCAGACCAACGGGTGGAGTGTGGAAGGTTCTCCTTCACAAAGTAGATGACACAGCAGATAAATTTGACATCAGTACATTTTTCCCAGACAAAGAAGTTGAGGGATATCGAGTTAGGAGACAAGGCTTCATCGGACTTCTATAATGTTTACAGGAATATCTGTGCCCACGGAATGATAGTGGAATCTTCCAGCAATGCCATAGTTACAGGGAGTGAACTGCATTATAGGCCTCTGTTCCCGGGATTCAAACAGTCATTTCAGATGTTCATTTCTTCCACACCATGTGACCAAAATGCAACTGCCCAGTCAGGCTGACAAACCCAGCACAGTACACCCCAGTCAGGCTGACAAACCCAGCTTATTACACCCCAGTCAGACTGACAAACCCAGCACAGTACACCCCAGTCAGACTGACAAACCCAGCTTATTACACCCCAGTCAGACTGACAAACCCAGCACAGTACACCCCAGTCAGGCTGACAAACCCAGCACAGTACACCCCAGTCAGGCTGACAAACCCAGCTTATTACACCCCAGTCAG